GCTTTTCCTCTTTGCTGCTTCTCCTGGCAGTTCTGGCACTGCTGCTGTTGTTCCATGGAATGTAGAGGTTCCCCAGGATCAGCTCCTGAGATGGGTGCAGCTCTGTTATCCTGGATAAACTCCAGCCAAACTCCTTCCCTGTGATAAGCCAAGTATGTAACACCATCTGATAAAATGAGGGTGCAGCATGAATTGTGCCCGTGGGATTTTTAATAGGCAGATGTTGCTATTCCATCCTGGAAAGTTTCTGGAATAAACTTTCTCCCTGAGAATGGTATGGCTGGGGGTGCTGTTAATGCCATGTCAGAGGGGTAGGTAGGGAAGCTTTCCAGCTCCTTCAAAATTAGGAGTCATTAAGCACAAACCAGAGAATCTTTCAGGATGGGAAAGCCCTCTAAGATCACCAAGTCCAATCATGAACCCAGCACTGCCAAGGCCACCCATGTCCCCAGCTGCCACATCCACACGTGCTCTAAAGCATCAAATAACACCGGAGGTGGTGCTTGTTCCTCTCCTGGCTGTTCCACACACATTCCATCAGCCTCCTGTGCCCATCTGGGGCCCAGGATGTGGGGCCAGGCAGTGCTGGCTGCCTTGGGAGCTTGGATTTCTTGAGCACATCCCTCTGGATGTGAGTGGGACCGTAGCTGTGTTGGATTTACTGGAGTTCAGTCACACCCTGGCAGTTGAAGAACCATCCAGTGAGCCTGCTGATGTTGTTGAGATGTCAGATGCTTTTAAATCCTTCGTTGCCGAGATGCTGTTATTTAAATTAAAACTGCTCTTAAGGATAAGCCAGCTGCCATTAAGTGATTGCTTTTCTACTCTTCCTAATATCCAGCCTAACCCTCCCCTGACACAACTCCAGCCTTTCCCTCGGGTCCCTCTCTCTGTTCTGTCACTTGGGTACCAGTCTGACCCACGTGTCTGCTGATGTACAGATCGAGCCTTATCACCTGTACTATAAAAAACAGGCCTAGATAAGAATTTATTTTCCCATTTAACCCACAGCTTATGGATTTCTAGTGCATGGCTGAGGCCATGAGATGTTCCTCTGGGTTGTGAGGGGTCGTGATGATGGTGTGTGAGTGTGTTATGGTGAAGACAGCGAGCAGCAGCCCTGCTGGCTTGGGATCCTCGTCCCACTCAGCAGGAAATGTGTCTGCAGTTCCTGCAGCAGCTGGAATTGGTAGCACACCACTGCCGTGTCCTCAGTTGCTTCTGGGCAGGGTGATGGTGTTGGAGCAGATATTTCACAGCTTCTCTTGCTGCAATGAGATCTGACCCAAGGGACAGGAAAGTTTTTCTTGGCTTTGAACTTGCCTGTCCCAGTTAGCTCAGCAAATTAAACCAGCGTTTGAGTCTGTAGGAAAGACTATCATGTGCTGAAGAGCATTCTCTGGTTTGCTGGGATTTTCTTTTAAAATGTTAATTCCTTCCAAGTTAATTGGCAAGCTGTAACATCAGAGGGGAAGGAGCTGCGTCACAGAAATCAGTAAATCAGCTTTGGTGATGAACTGATCCTTCAGGAGGAACTCATGGAGCTGAGCTTGGCCTTTCTGCAGACAGGATGGACATGGGATGTTTTCATGGGATTCACTGGAAGAAGGGAGATAGGGGTGTAGATCAGGGAATTTGGGGGGGGGGGGTTCAGAGGTGAACAAGACTGATTCTCATTTGGTTTATTTACCTGTGTTTTACCCTGGTGCTGCAGTGCCTTAATGCTGGAGTGATGTTGCACCCTTTAATCTTTTTTATTAGTGTCACCTTGTCGCCCTTCCATCTGTGACACAAGGGGCAATGTCATTTTAGGGATGTGCTTTATGTCTTTTTTACATACATATATATATATATATATATATATACACACTCACATATCTGCCCATCCAGGCAGACAGCCCTGGCCATTCCAGGAGTCGATACAGGCACTGAGAGCAGACAAAAGCTGCAGAAACTGAGCTGGCAGGGCTATTAATTTTTCACAAAAAAAAAAGAAATCTTGCATTAAAAATAGAAAAATCTCTGATGATAAAATCTGCAGTGGTGAAACTCAAAAGCAGATCGTTTCACCGAGCTCCTTGATGTAGAAATCATTAGTGCCACTCTCCTGTATTATAAAAAAAAAAAAGGAAAAATAGTTTAAAAAAAAAAAAAACTGTTCTCTTGCAGTCTGGTTTAGTTTCCAGTTAACATTGACAGAACAAGTGACTGCAAGTGTTTATCAACCAGCCCCAAACCAAGGTCTGGGGGAGCTTTGCAGAGCTAAGGTATTACTCATGAATCCTGTACTTTATTCTGGAATAGTTTGTACATGCCTTATTCATAACACCAGAGTCATGTCTGTAATTAAATTTAGGTAAATACCCTTCCAACTGCAGCTGAAAAGCAGTTTAGGAGCTGATTGTGGAACCTGGGCTGGTGTGTCAGGAGGGAGCTTCAACTTCAGCTCCTGCTGCGAAGAACAGGCACTTCAGAAGCTTCTGGATCTTCAGCTCATGCGTGGGATTAATGCAGTTACTGCTCCATTCAGGGCCTTCCCAAAGGTTATCAAAGAGCTCTCCACCAGCAGGCAAAAAAATTGGTGTTATTTGCTCTCCTGTGGTGTGGTCCTTGTCCAGAGTCCCTCTCCTGTTCTCCTGTCTACTCTCTATGAGTTCTTCACCTTGCAGCACCAACCTTTGCATGAAGGTGAACACCTTGGCCCTCCTCCAAATGGCAGTCACAGCATCGTGAATCTGGTGTCTTATTGCAATATATGTATATATATGTATATATATAAACAGCAATTACAGGTTTCCATAATCTGGCTGAGTGGGGCCAAATAAAACCCAGCAGTTGCTGCTCCCTTTGACTTCCAGCTGCACTTTGCACCGCTCAAGCTGTGCTTCAGTCACTTGTTTCCTTCTGATCCGTTCCTCCCTCCCCCACGGGCGCTCCTGGAGCGTAAATGCATTTGTCTGTCTCCTCCAAAGGGCTGTGACCTGGTGTCCTCCTGCCATCCCAAAGAGGAGAAGAGCCAAAGGAAGTCGAAAGGCAGCAAGCTGTGGTTAACTCAGGGTGCTACAACCACCTCCAGGGCCCTTCTGTTGTCCCGGCTTTTCTGTGCTTTGTCCCTTCTGTCGGTGCTTTATTTGGGGAATTCTCGCGGCGCAGACGTGTGGGATGGGAGGCACTGCCCCGTGCACAGAGGCATCCTCACGGATCTGAAGCTTCAGCTGAGGCACCAGAGCTCTTGTTGTGCTGGGCAGAGTCACCATCTGGAGAGGCTTCTCCTTCCCCGCCGATGGGAGGTGTGGAGCGATGGGATCCCGCCACGGGCCCCGTGCCAGGCCAGGGTGTGGAGAGCAGCTTGCCAGGCAGAAAATAGGGGTTTTCCTCACTTTCCTTTGGTGCTCAACTCACCCTAAGGATGAAGATGCTGTCAGTCGACAAAAACGTTTCAGACCACAGTCCCTTGAGTCGATGGTGCCTCTGTAAATTGAGTTGCATTCTGGAACGAGGCACAACACGATTCCTCACCAGTGCAAGAGTTAATTACCTGTAAAAGGGATGGGGTGCTCTTCCTCCTGCCCAAACCTGAGGATCAAGCCCTGCCTCGTAAGAAAAAGGTGATTTGTTTCTCGTCCCACTCCTCCAGTGGGCACATCCACACCCTCCCAGCACCAGGAGGGCTGGCAGAGCATCACCAGGCCCCACTCACACAAATCCACGTGTTAGTGGTCCTAAAGGAGATTCATTGGCAGGGCCAGGCAGGGGGGAACTTGCCAGACACCTGGCCAGGGCATTTACGAGGATTGTGCTTTTATTCTTTTCTTCTTCTAGTTTATTCTTACATGGGAAATCGTTCCCCCTGGTTGTAGATGAGCTGGTAAATCCCCACGGTTGTGAAAGCTTCTATCCTGTGTAATATTTACTTGACGTTTGGCCATCCCCAGGATTTCTTTGCTTTACCAGACAGGGATGAGCTAATAACATTCCCTGTCCTTAAAAGCCCTTTTAAAGCCACGGTTGATCTCATATTTTATTTTCCTTGGCTGGAAGGGGTTTGATTGCTTTTAGTGCAGTCACATTTTTATGCAGTTCCAGAAATGAAGTGGGTTAAAAGGGCTCCCTTGGGAGCACCCAGGGGCTTAAGGAGGAATATAATTTTGTTGGTAAAACCGAGGGAACAGCAGACACAGCCCACTGAGGTCCCAGCATGGAGCCTCAGCAGCTCCTACCCTGCTTGCTGCATCTCCTGCAGGGGCAGCTATTTGCTGGTTTGCCCAGAAATTACATTAAAACTTCACATTTTTGCACCCTGTGTGTTTTGTGTGTCTGTGGAGAATCAGCATCTCATCTTTGAGAAGATTCAGCCATATTGGACTTGAGGTGTTACAAGAGCTGGAAGTCTGTAAATGTTTAAAAACATCAATAAAAATGACCTTCAGCGATGGAAGTTGTCGTCTGGTTTATTATATTTTGCCTTAAACAGGGCTTGGTGTGTAGCTCAGTTAATTTGCTTTGGTTGTCAGCCTGGTAGGTCATGGCCAGAAGCATCTTTTCTTACTGGAGAATGTGTTTACAAGGAAATAAACCTGCACTGCAGGACTGGCACAGGTGGCAGAGTGCAGGTGTCATTTAAAGGACGTTTTTTTTCCAAGTGTGGATATTCTAAATATGGCATTTTCTAGTGACTCCAGTGACGTGCTTTGCAAGTGTGGTTCTTCTCTGTAAAATGACTAGAAAAGTAACACTGCAGTTTTCATGGAATTGTGCCTCTGCTGTTTGCAAATTTACATCTGCTCATAGAAAATGTGTTGGGGTGGATTTTTTTTGCTGCCCTCCAATGTTTGGGGTGTTTTGAGCTATCAGTGTTTACAATTAATTGGTGCTTTACAAGTGAGAATCCCTCCACCTCTGTTTCCCAAAGCTGGATGAGGTTGAAGGATTAGCAGGGGCAAAAAATTGTTTCATTGCTGCAACAAGAAATACTGACACACTCTTTCTTTTGATTTTAGGAGTGGCCACACCCTACTTGCCTTCTGGTTTTCCCGACAAGAAGGAAAATTAAATCGGCAGCAAACTATTGAACTGGGACATCACATCCTCAAAGCACACATTTTTAAGGTAACAAAAAATTCAGATGAAGGCTTAACACCAAGCTCATCCCCAGCACTGGCAGTGCTCAGTCGTGTCTTGTCGTGGGGTTGGTGTAAGGGTGTGATTGCCTGAGGCTGCTGGAGCGAGGAGAAGTTGGGAAAATTGGCAGCGGTATCCAAGAAAAGCTTGAAATTAAACCCTCCTTCAGACTGTAAATGCAGCAGATATCCTCCTATCCCTAAAATTGCTCTCCACCCTAAGAGGTTTCTTCCCCTGTAAGATGAGTTCCTATAACAGCATCTAGAAAAATCTTTTAAAAGCCGTTCTGAAGAATCCAACGCAAAATTTGGGTTGTAAAGGGGAAATTTGCTGGTTGTTAACGTGGGCTCCGTGTTCCTCCTCACACAGGCATTTAAAAGCTGGGTAGTTGAAAGGCAAACTCAGGTATGAGCATCAGTATTGATGCCTGCCCAGGTACCAGAGGATCGAAATTAGGAGGATGGATTTTTAAGGTCACGGGAAATACAGAATTTCTTACAACTTTAGGGATCTGTGGGTGCTTAACGCCAGTAAAAACAAGGCTGTATCTGAAGGGAAGAAGCCCAGCTCAGCACTTTACCCTCAGGGTATCATTTCACATTTTGAGTTGCATTCCCAAGGCCAAATTCAGCCCTGACTTGACTTCTCAGCTGCCATTTGGATCCGAGTCTGGTTCCAAACCTTCTCCATTTCACACTTCCAATGACAAGGATTCAGGCTCTGAGCAAAGGGCAGTTTTCATTTCTGAGCTGCCTGCAGATGCCAGGTTTAATTGAGCAATATTTACAATAGTAGAAAAAGCCAATTAGCATATGAGAAATGTCAGTCCAGCCTTCTGTGCCTCATCACTCAGCAAAATCCTTGGGTGTCCAACGCTGCAGGAAGGCCAGAGACAGAAAACCATAACAGAATGTTGGTTGGAAGTACCACAGAGCTTTGGAAGGGTTTGAATTAGCTGGATTACAAGCTGTAACTTAGTCTTTTTGCTTTCCCTTGAATAGATTTATTTTTGTTCCTTACTTTTAACAAGTGTTTACTGAGGATTTGTGAGTGTTTACTGAGCAAAACAAGAGCTGCATTAGTTTCTGAAGGAGGCATTAGGCTGGAATATTACAGACCATGTTTAAGAGCTTGAGCATTCTTTAAACAAAATATTTCCTGGAGTACAAGCACAGACTCTTTGCCTGTTGTTACCAACTCTTATTTGTTTCTAAACAAGCATTTTTTCCATTCAGGCTTTTCTTTCTGTCTGATCTTTTGCTGAAGCATTACCGGCGTGACCGTGGGTTTTCTGCCAAGTAGGGAACGTGTCAGGTCATCAATTCAGGATGTTTTTCCTCAAGTTCCCATGTTATAGCAGCAGCTTTCTGCAGACACTAAAGATCCTAATTTTGAAGGTATTTATGGAGGCCTGATGCCATTGTAATTCCATTTTATTTACCCATCAGAAAGCCAGGAGAGGATTAGAAGAGGGCTAAAGCATTTTGTTCAGAGACTGAGAGCTGGGTATAGAGACAGACTTTGATAAAACAGTGCAGAAAATTTCTTCATCCTTCCCCAGTCCTTACTAATTTGAATCCTCTGGTACCTTGACAAGGTGATGATGGGACACTTGGAGTTTCCAGGTGTAAAAATTCAGGTGCTGACCTGACACCTTGGTGGGAAGACACTTTCACATTCCCCTCTTCGCTTGCTGGCTGAGATCTGCAGGTTTTCTCTTTTAAACACAGTTTGAAGGGGAAAAAAAGTACAAATGTTCTAATATTTTTAATCAGTTACCAGTCTTAACAGGAGCATATGGAAAGCCTGGCATGGAGGGAAAGGGCACAAAGAGAAATGTGCAGTTGTCATACAAGAGGACCCAAACTTCAGGCTGGCGTATGTTTTGCAAATCAAGCAAAGAGGAGGCTTTGGTTTAATCTTTAAATTAGTTAAAATGTCAGTAATCCAGAGATGGGTGATGCTTTGAGCACCCTGGGCTAGTGGAGGGTGTCCCTGCCCATGGCAGGGGGTGGAATGAGATGGTCTTTGAGGTCCCTTCCAACCCAGACCAGTCTGGGATTCCATCAGGTGCCAATGGCCAAAGAGCAGAGGAAGTGATAAGTTAAAAATTAAAGATGCTGACAGCTGCAAACCAGACAGGACAGAAGAAACCAACTCTGTTTGGACACTGGGGTTGTGAGGGTTGGCAGAGTTATTCAAATGGCTGTGCCTCGATCCCGTTTTGGGTGATCCCAGTGAAGTGGGAACCACTGGGGGTATTTTGGTTTGATGTTGTATCACACTGAAATTCATTTTTTTGAAGGATTCAACCCGTACAGTTCCGAAAAGGGAATTACAAAAGGAAAGATACAAGCTGTAAAATGAGAAATAGTGCAGGGTGTTTTTCAGCAACTGAGTGCTAATGATGTTGAATGTATTTTTTTTCTTTAAAGGATAAATGTCACCTTTTGGGTCTTGCACTAATATCGGAGCATATATATTCTAATGCAACAGTCAAGATTTTTATAGCATCTGTGATTATCTTCAGAAGGCTGTTCTCAAAATATCTACCCTTTTCCTTGCTCCTGATGGTGACTCAAACGCCTTATTTATGGGCTTGATAGTAGTATAACAATTTCTAAATAACTTTAACCGTTTATTATGAAATTGTTTCCCATTTCCCAATTACACCATCCCGAATTCATGAAATTTAATCTTGACCTTTAATGTCCTGCGTTATGTCATTTCCAAAGCTGCATTTACCAGTGGCTCAAATTCCTGAGCTCGCTCTCTTCTCCCTCTCAGCACAAGCAGATCTTCTCCTCAGTTTAGCTGCCTGAATTTTAAGGAAACAAGCACATGGGGCTGTTATTTATAAGAGCTTGTGTAATCTGTTGCTTCTTTTGGTGATAAAACTGCTCCGAGTGACAAATCTGTTGACGGCAGGAGCGATGCTGCGGAGCGTCTTCCACGCGTCGGAATTGCAGGCCTGCAGCAGGTTGAGCTGCTGATTCCTGCACATCTTCCTGAAGGGGAAACAAGCCCACTTTTTGCTGCTGGTTTTGTTCCCACCTCTCAGTCCTGCCAACCTGGAAGAGCGATCCTGCTGTTTTGCAGGGATACAAGTGACCCCCCCCCACCCCCCCCCACCCCGGAGCGTGAGGAAGTGGAAATCAGGGTTTGCATGTCAAAACAGAATTAAGGATGTCTGTGCAGTTCCCATGGAAACAGCAGGGTTTGATGGGAAATCGATCAGAACAGCAACATTTAGGGTGTACCCACATCACACAGCCAGCACAGCACGGCAGCCAAGCTCCTTCCTGGAGCTGCAATCCCATCCCTGTCCTCTTCCATCCAGCTGTTCGCTCCCATCTGTTGGCTGCAGAGCAGTTATGGCTCTTTGCATAGGAGGGAGAGACCTGCAGTTCTGTGTTCTGCCAGTTTGTGATGCTGGAAAATATTTCTTAGTTTGGAATCTTTCTGGAAAACATCAGACTTTGTATGTGTTATGTGTAACCTGATCATGGACACCAACCAGAAAGGTTGGAGGTGAGATGGGGGAATACTGCTCCAGGCTGTGGTTGAAAGTTCCTTAACTTACCTTATTGTGAGCAGACCTTATTGTCTTCTGGTTTAACTGTGTGGATAATAAGGAAATCTGTGAATCAGTCCTGCCAAAAAAATGTGTGCTTCATTAAAAAAGAAAAAAAAAGGCAGCAATCTGGGCTCCTTAGCACGACACTTGGTGAGGGTGTTAAATGGACCCTGGTTGCTGCTCGCAGTTTAATCCTGCCTTTCCTAGACCTTGGAAATGGCTACAAAACCTCTACAGGCTCTTTTCCTACAAGCTTTTTAACTGATTGCAAAGGTCAGATGTGGCAAATCGGTGCGTTATCTCGTGTGTAGCCACTGTTGTCCTGAAATTCTTCGAAGTCCAAAGGACCAGGAGGATCTGCCTGGTGTAATGGAGCAGATTTGTGAGCTTGGATCTAAGTCATCTTCCCTTTTTTTTTTTTTTTTTAGGGGCTGAGTAAAAAAGTTGGAGTGTCTTCCTCCATCCTCCAAGGGCTTTGGATCTCCTACAGTACTGAAGGTCTTTCCATGGCTTTGGCATCCCTGAGAAACCTCTACACCCCGAACATAAAGGTACAGGAGGAGGGGAGGGAGGGCTGTGGTGGCACAAGAAGCTCCAGTGATGAGCAGTAACCACACACAGAGGATCCACTGGAGCTCCCTCTCCATGACATTGCCCTGCCCAGGCTGAGCAGCTTTCTGGGTGTTTGTCCTGAGATGGGGAGAGGCCATGGGTCCAGTTGGGATGTTTTACCGTCTGGGATGATCCCTCAACTCTGCTGCTTTGACCAGGAATCTCTTTTAACTGCAAGGAGAGAACAGAGAATTTGTGCCTGTCTAAAATGAGGGTTTTCCTCTTCAGAGATGTGGAATGAAACAACTATTGTTGGAATTTGGCAAAAAGGGCTCTGGCTTAGACAGGCACAAAGTCAGAGGTGACACCAAACCCACATGCCCATGTGCTGGTTCAGACACCTTTTTTGGGTTTTTAAGGATGAATGTGTTGACTTAAAATGACCCCATCTGTACAGCAGAAAGGATTTCAGACAGGGATACAGGTTTGGAGTTGTTCCTCATGTCGAAGGATGTTTGTCCCAGCTCCTCCCTGTCCGTAGTAGGTGAGCCCTGTCCCCAAGTCCCTTCCTTGCCACTCAGGTGGAGCCTTTTCCGTGGCTGCTGAGAGCAGAGGGAGCCATGCAGGGCTAACCAAAGCCAGCCCCTAGGGAGGATCCCACAGGAAGGATGCTGAGCACAGTTCTCTCCAGCTGTGTGTTTTCAGCCCCCATCCTGGGGTGAGACGCCGTGTCTGCAGCTGCTGCAAGCAGGGCTGGAGTGACTTAGTTCCCAAACAAAGGGAGGCTGCACCACTCAAACCACTTGTCAACCGCTCAGGGACAGATTAAACTGCTCCATCTACCTAAAACGGGACCATCTCTTGGGCAAGTGGTTTTTACTCAGCATTTCACGTCCTTTGCTGTTTGTTTGGAGACGCGCAGAGGGCCCCGGCGTACGTTCTGTTGCGCAACAAACTCCCGTCTCTCCACAACTCTCAGCCAGCTGCTCTCCTTCCCCCACCGCTGCAGGTCAGTCGGCTGCTGATTCTGGGAGGCGCAAACGTGAATTACAGGACGGAAGTCCTGAACAACGCCCCCATCCTGTGCGTGCAGTCCCACCTGGGCTACGCCGAGATGGTGGCTTTGCTCCTGGAGTTCGGCGCCAACGTCGACGCCGCCTCGGAGAGCGGCCTGACCCCCCTGGGCTACGCGGCCGCCGCCGGGTTCCTGAGCATTGTGGTGCTGCTGTGCAAGAAAAGGGCCAAGGTAAAGGGGCCACCCATCCCCTAAAAAGGTGATCTCAGCTGCTCCACTGAGAGCAGGGGCGGGAAGCACGCAAAGCGGGGCGGGAGCTGCAGGCGGAGCGCGGAGCGCTGGCTGAGGGAACATCATCCAACAGTGAAACATTTGGGCTGGGCCTTTCTGTGGCTTTAAAACTTCCCATGTTGACATCAAAGCTAAGGAACTGCTGAGAATCAGTAGTAGTGGCGTGTGGAATTCAGGTGTGAGGTAGGAGCTGCGCTGGTGACCTGCAGAGGGATGTCCTGGAGGAATCGCTGAAACCTCCCCGGCGTTAAAATGGCAACGCTTCCCCAGCACAAAACGTCCTTTAAATGTCTCCTCGAGGCACGTTTTTCCAAAAATCTGCCATCAGACTTGTCCCAGAAAAAAAAAACCCTTTTGTTTAGCTTTGTGGCGAGTGTTTGGAGTTTTAATTGTATATAATGAGTCGACTTGAAATACTTCGTTGAAGAAGAAAATTGTGCTGATTTTTTGAAGTGGAGCCGGCTGGAAACAATTTGTGGTTTCTCTGTATGTTTAGTTTCAGTTCAAAAGGCAAAATATGGGTTTGTGTAGTTTTGGTATGAAAGTCAGGATGACTGAGGGACTGTTTGGATCTTGCTGGGTTGTGTTGTCTGTAATAATGTGAGGACGGTATGAAGGAAAAAAAGAATTTTGCTTTTGTTGGGATATTTTGAGAGAGTTTGGTGACAGAACTCCTGCCACTCTCAGCTTTCCTTGAGCATCCCGACAGTGCTGAGGAAATACCCCCAGACAAACTGGATTTATTCTAAAGATTGAGATATTTGCAGTAAACTGCAACACTGACTGTTGAAGGAGTCGAGAAAGGAGAAATATTGATATATTATTGTTATTATTATTGTGAATGAGTTACAAGATAAGAAATATTTCTCATAACTATAATTTGGTCATGAGGCCCTGGCACAGGTTGCCCAGAGAAGCTGTGGCTGCCCCTGGATCCCTGGAAGTGTCCAAGGACAGGTTGGAGCACCCTGGGCTGGTGGAAGATGTCCCTGCCCATGGCAGAGGGTGGAACTGGATGAGCTTTAAGGTCCCCTCCAACCCAAACCAGTCTGAGATTCTGTGAATTAATATTAGTAAAATATATTAAAATAATAATAATATCCTGTTTTTATGAGAAATAATATGCTGCAGAGCACTGAAGGGGTTCACCAGCAGGAGGATGATAACTGATCTTCCTTTCCTGTGTTCTCCAAGCTCCTGGTATTGAGATAGGACCTAGAAACCCCAGCTGATGTATTCAGACCTCAAGTGGAAACCATGCCCTGAGATACAACTAAATAAGTTCCTCCAAGACAGCCAAGAACTGTCTCTGTTTCCTACTGGCTCTGCCTGCACTGGATTCAGGTTACAGCATCTGACTGCAGGCTGGGGCACTTCTGGGTCTCTCAAAAGAATTGGCATCTGGAAAACAGGCTGACTTTCCTTCTGTGGATTTGGCTAAAGGAGATGGTATCAAGAAAATTCGATTGCTGGGCTTCAGAGCTCAAAGGGAAAAACGCTTTTGCAGCCTTTTGAGTCTGAAGAAAACCGAAGACAGCTAAAAAAATAACGGTACCTTCCCCAAAGCAAACACTTGTGGCCAAGAGCGTGCCAGAGCCTGGGGTGTTGCCTTGGGAATGGTTGTTTTCTGGTCGTGGAAGGGGCAGTTTACCAGAAAAATGCCCATTTTGCACACGTGGCTTTGTTCTGGAGCTGGGGTTGGAAACTCAGAAGAGGCAAAGATTTGGTTTAACTGGATTTTGTCGTCTCTGTTCAAGGTGGATCATCTGGACAAGAACGGTCAGTGTGCCCTGGTCCACGCCGCCCTCAGAGGACACTTGGAGGTGGTGAAGTTCTTGATCCAGTGTGACTGGAGCATGGCTGGGCAGCAGCAGGGGGTGTTCAAGAAGAGCCACGCCATCCAGCAGGCCCTGATCGCCGCTGCCAGCATGGGCTACACCGAGGTAGGACCCACACAGCCTCTGAAGGGGAAGGGAACCAAGGGCTGGCTCCTCCCTGGCCAAAATGTTGGCCAGAGAAGGTCGTGGAGGTGGAGCCACTACCTCTGTGCTGTGCTCTGGGCTGGTTTCTGAGAGAGGGAGAGTAACAACAAGCCTTTAAGTTGTTAGAATAAATGTTTGGAATAAATTTCTGAGGATAAGGTGGATGAGCAGCCCCAGCTGCCCATGGCAGCCCCTGTTCCTTCTCCTTTCCTGAGAATGGGTTTCTCTTCAATCAAATACCTCCTCCCAGCCTCACATCCTCCTGGAGAGGCATCCACTGCACACGCTGGGTCATCTCCAAACACAGTTAGAGGGAACTGACCCTGCTGGGGCTCATCAAGACGTTTGGGTGGGTTTTTTTTTTTTTTTTACTCATACAGGTTCGATGATTGATATTTCCTTGAACTCGGGGTGCCAGGCAGAGACTGTTCCTTCCCCTCTGTGCATTCCCAACAGCTTGTGTTGAGGTGTCAGCACTTTCCATCCACCTCAGATCCGAGTTCAGGAGCTGACAGGTCGTTTTGTTTCAGATCGTCTCCTACCTGCTCGATCTCCCAGAAAAAGACGAAGAGGAGGTGGAGAGAGCACAGATCAACAGCTTTGACAGCCTTTGGGGAGAGACAGGTGATTCCTGTAGATGCTGTAGCTTCTTTGTGCATGTTTGTGTTTGTTTTTATGGGCTCCCCTGTCCCTGATGCATCCCTGATCCCAGGCATTGCTTTGATGGAGAAGGATCAGTTCCTGTGGTTTGATGCCAGGTGATTTACAGGGACCAGGGTGGAGCTTTGCACCCAGCTTAAGGAAAACTGAGAAGTTTGGGGTTTGAAAATTCTGAGCTTCTGCAGCTCCTGGCTCTTTTCAGGAGTGTGAGGCACTCAGCACCCTGACCAGGTCGCTGATTTCCCTGAAACATGAGATGGACACTCAGTTCTGCTCTTTCTCTCTTAATATTGGGCATATTTATCCAAAGCATCTCCCTGTTTCTCTCCTCCCCTCCCCATTACCTGCAGCACTATGGTTGTTAAATTATCCATTGATTTCCTGAAATCTCCTCATTATTTAGCACCTGGTGGTTAAACAAATACCCTTTAGTGCAGTCCTTCATTTCTGCATTGATGGCTACAACACAAAATCCCTCCTTTCCTGACTTCTCCCAAAACAAAGGCAGCCATCCATCCCTTCTGCTCCGCTGACATCTCCATTTCTTGAGGCGTTCCAGCATGGAGTTGTTGTTTGCTTTTAACTCCAGCCACCCCATAAATATTATCCTCTGTCATTTGCACTCAACTCACCGCTCCACTTGCATCGCTGGTAATGCTGCTGTCAGGTTCATACACCCAGGTGATGTTCCTGGCTGGTGATCCTGTCAGCTTTGCTTAAAAATGACACGATCCAAGGGGACAGAGGGGGAGGCTGGAGAGTGGCTCGCTGGTTGTTTCTGCTTTGGAGGGGGCAGGGTTGTCTTTTGAGCTGGTTTGTACCTGTGCCTTTGAAAATGTGGCCTTATTAGAGCCGTGTGATGAATGGATTGTGCCTGAGAGCGTTGCCCTGAGCTCCAAAGGGCAAAGTTTGAGGGATGAGGTGTCGTGGGAAGAGCCCAGGGAGTGGCCAGGCTGCCCTGGGCAGGGCACTTGGGGGAAGGAGCCAACTCCTGTCCCCATGGGAATGTAACTGAGCAGCAGGGCCATGGGGCCGTTACTATTAGAGGAAACAAGGGCAACAGATACAAATCAGCAATTTCAAAGTGCCCTGGGGTGTCGTGGGAGAAGAGAAAGGGATTGGGTGTGGAATCAGCCGAGTGAAATGGCCGAGTGTTGGTAAGGGGACAGAGGTTTTGTACCAGTGAGCTCCCAGTGGGTGACCAGTCCTGAGATGGATCATCCAAATTCTTCTCCCTGGTATTTAGGTCACAAGGACTGTCTTGTAAATAGGACCATGATCAGAGTTTGATCTAAAGCCACTCAGCCCTGCAGAGTAACCCCATGGGCAGCATCAGGCACTACAGATAAGCCCTTCTTGTCCCATGCCCTGGGCAGCTCTGACATTCCCAACCTGCCTGTTTCCATCTCTGTTGTCCCCCTTCCCATACCTCTGCCCCCAACAATGCCAGAAACTGGACAAACCAGGCATCTGGGAGTTTCTCTGTCAGGGAGGGTTTTCTGAGTAACTGGGACAGCTGGGAATGTGGATTTGTGATTTGCAAATCACACACAAATTGAGGGGCCACCTCAGAGGAGTATCCATTTATCCCATTAAAATTGGGAAGATGGGAAAGGGAGCCAACCACCAAACTGAGCAGACTATGCTCTGCATGGAACAAGTCTGTAAGTTTGTATGAAACTCATGACTCTCACATTATTATATTATTATTATTTCCCCAAAGGTAAATAGAGAGTTTAAATAAATTTGAAGAGGAATGCTGGTTTCCACCTAAAAATAGCAATATCTCCTTTAAATCTCTGAATCCTGGTTGTCTGGTTTTTGATACTTGTTGCTCGTGTCTAATCTTCCTCAGAGCAGAACCGAGTGCTTGGCTTAGTGATATCAGCCTGATATCATCCAAGTGGCAGTGCCAAGTGACATCATAAGTTTAGGAATCGCTGACAGCACACTGTAGCCAGCTCCAGATGGAGTATTTCCCCCTGGGACAAAACTAATATCAAAACCCAGCAGAAAAGTATCTGAGTCACTTTGTGCTCAGTCCCTCAAGAGTCGGAGGTGCAAAGAACGGCTCCGTCGAGCTGTTTGTGTTGCTGCCAGGCTGGGAAACAGATACACGTGCTGGAGAGCAGTAGCTGAATGATTCTTTCTCCAGATAAAGTTGTTTTTCCTCTGAGAAGCAAAGGCAGAATGTGCTGTGGCAGATCCCTGGTGTTGGAGGCCGTGGCTTGATGCCGGTGGAGGGAGGCACGTCCGCACCTGAACCTGGTCTCAGGTTTTGGTTGAGCGGCTGTTCTGTGGTGTTTATGCCAAGACTTGGTTGTTGCACGGTGAGTTGCCCTCCTGTCACTGCATTCCTCGTGGAAAAGCTGCAAAATGAACATTCCTGTTTGCCAGCCCAGGATCCTGGGCTGGGTGGACTCACCTTGGCTGTGCTGGGCTATGGGAGCACCCTGGCAGACAGTAAAACTTCAGACCAACCCATTTCCATCTCTTTTAGTTCCTCTCATCACCTTTCCTTGGCTTGTCCAATCTCCTTTCACACACAGGCACAGCCTTACCTCGTGTCATGTGTGTTTTATGGACTAAAAGCTGTAAGGCTGATGAGTCCATCTAAGGAGTGCTGAAGGAAGCAGGTACTCCTAGAGTTCTTCCTCAAGTAGGTTAATTGAGCATTTGGACTTGGATACCAACCACAGGATAGTGCTCTGGGCTTGAGGTGAGCCACAGGATGTCAACAGCTGCTTTGAGGGCTGGAGCAGCAGCCTGTCCAGCTTATGGCAGGTGAGGGACCACGGGGGGTTCTCCAGTCCAACCTTCCCCCTGGGGAGGTCTGGGTGTGCCTTAATGGGCTCTGGGGTCCAGCTGGGCTGAGTTTCTCCATTTATGAGGATTTAGGTATCTGTGCACCGTACAAGACAAGCTTGGATGGGTTTTTCTCAGCAGCAGGAGGCAAGTCCAGCTCATCAGTGTGGAACCTTCCTGAAGGAACAAGGTCTGGCTGCTCAGCAGCACAGGAGCTTTTCCCTGGAGTTGGAGCTGCAGAGGACAGGCTGGAGCCACATTTCCACACCAGTTTCTTGGACTCTGAGGAGCACAGCAGCAAAAAGAGATGTCAGTGCAGGCAGAAGGGATTTCAAGGGAGAGTGGAGAAACCATGGATCAAATCATCCTGTTTCAGTAAAGCCTTCTCCAAAGAACATTTCACGACGAACGCCAAACACTGAAGCGATTTACAGTATTCTCATTGTTGTAAACATAAGTCATTTTGACGTGAAATACCTCAAATTAACCTGCAACATTTCAAGTGCAGGCAGGTTTCAGAAATAGAACTCAGAGCCCTGCATTCCAATCCCTCTGCCTCCTTCTGTATTTGTAGCTTACGTTGAAAACCCACATGGATCTGATTATAGATTTTGCAGAACGTTCTGCTCGTGGCAGCGAGATGACTTTTCTGTTAACTCTTGGTGTCTCTCAGCTCCAAGAGAAGACAACTCAGCCATAACGTGGAGCAGAACGGAGAATTAATTAAATCCCCCGGCATTAACAGTGTTGCAGTTGGAAAGCCATCAACACCTCGTAATCAGCCAACCCACAGAAATGTACTTCAAAGGAAAAAACAAGCGACGTCAGGCAGAAATAGACTCCCACCTTCTGCTCCAACTCCTACCAGAAGCAGCAGAGCGTGGAGCCAGGGGAGCTGTGCTGAAGTGCACAGAAAGTTAGGGAGAGGGAGGAACCAAGAAGTCTAAAATTAACACCGAAACGAGTCACTGGCAGGTCCTGAACTTGGAACTATTTTCAGATGGAATGTGTCTTCTCTAACCCAGCCGTACTTGGGGAGTTAACAGAGCACATTTTGCCAGGGAAGGAGCTCTCAGGTGTTGCTTCTGCCCACCTGTGATATTGTGAGCGGATAATTTCGGGTTTGTACAAAGATCCTGGCTGGTAGGGTCAGCCCTGACCAGAAAAAAAGCACCTAGATTTAGCATTTTCCTTGGAGAACATGTGAACATATTCATCCTCTCTTGCTTTCCAGATCTTTCTCTGGTTTCAGACATCTACAGGCTAAAGTGGGATATGGAAAATAAGAGTCCTCCGTGTGAATTACACTGCCCTGTGCTTGTTTGGACAGGGAAAAGCCACAGATATGACTGACATGAGTGTCTTATCAGGGAGTTGTTGGTGCTCACTGCTTGATCCCTCATTTCCTCCCTTGTCACCCTGGTGGGATGATCAAGAACAGGTTGAAGAAGGTTCTTGTCGAGTACCTGAAGACCTGTGTTTTTTCTGGATATTGAGCCCCTACTCAGACCCCTTCAGCCTCACAACCCATGGCCTTGGCAGTGGGGAAAATGGTGAAGGTTTAGTGTGATGGGACTCCACATCTCTTTGCAACCATACCTGAACCTCATCTACATCGTCTACACCTTTAATCTCACCTACACCTCGAATCTTGGACGTCAGTCACGCCTGAACCTCAGTCACCTGTGCTCAGTCACACTTCAACCTCAGTCCCATTATTTTGTTGGGGTTCTTACCACGTTTCACTGCGACTTGGGGAAAATAACAAAAGGTGGCTGCCTCAACCAGCCTCGTTCCGTGATGCTTTCATGGAAGAGTTGACCTTTGAGGTAACTAAAACGGCAAGAGCTAGAACTGTGCTGGTCAAGCCCACTTTTCCTTTGTCCATTTTGCCTGTCGCGGGATGCGTTTGGCGTTTCAGGGTATCCATCAGAAAGACCCATCTGCAGGTGGGAGAACACTCCTCTGAGCGCTCTGCTCCTCCCCTTGACCTTGCTGTCCTCTCTCTCCCTCAGCTCTGACGGCGGCGGCCGGGCGCGGGAAGCTGGAGGTGTGCCGGCTGCTCCTGGAGCAGGGGGCGGCCGTGGCGCAGCCCAACCGCCGCGGGGTCGTCCCGCTCTTCAGCGCCGTCAGGCAGGGCCACTGGCAGGTGAGCAGGTCCCTCACTCCTCAGGGCAGCCCCAGGTGTGGGGTCAGGCCTTCCCCCTTCCGTCTCGCCGGGATAAGGGTGGGGAAGAGGAGCCCCAGCTCTTGTGGGGGAATGAGCAGAGCGAGAAGAAGTGGTGTTGATGCTCCAGTCACCCTGAGGTTTTGTTGGTTGCAGACACCTTTGCTTAAGTCCTGGATTGTTATAGAATCGTGGAATAGGTTGAATTGGAAAGGACTTAAAAGACCATTCAGTTCCAACCCTCTACCATGGGTAGGGACACCTTCCAACCTTCCACTAGCCCAGGTTGCTCCAAGCCCCGTCCAACCTGGCCTTGGTCACTTCCAAGGATGGGGCAGCCACAGCTTCTCTGGTTATCTCACCATCTGGGAAGCAAATGGGTCACTCCTGACTTTTCCTGCCCTTACACCGCTACTGCTTCCCCCAGTCCCTGATCTCCCAGCAGCAACCCCACAGGGCCTTGAGGGCTGTGAGCTTTTAGGACATGGGTTCTGCCCTGCTCTTCCTCTTCTCTGGCCCCTTCCCCAGCTGGGTCTCCCCGTGCAACGTGTGTGCTGGCTCTGTGTGTTGCAGATCGTGGATCTCCTGCTGACGCACGGCGCCGACGTGAACATGGCAGACAAGCAGGGCAGGACGCCGCTGATGATGGCAGCGTCCGAGGGGCACCTGGGCACCGTGGAGTTCCTGCTTGCACAAGGTTAGAGCACGTCCTGGGGGGGTTTCTGGAGTCCTGGCGAGTCCCGCCTCACTGGCTCCCTGCACGGCTGGAGTTTGGTGGTGTCAGGGTGGGGGTTGTAACCACCCCGTGTCCGGCTCCTTGGAGGACAAGTTGGTGGATTGGCTGAAAATAAATCAGAATTCTTTTGAAGGGAGCTCTGCAGCTCTGCACCCACAGCTTCCCTCTGCTCAAAACTTGCAGTGGCTGATAACTCTCCCTCACTGGGACTTACTCAGCCAGCATGGCTCAGTTTTGCTCAGTTCTGCTGAATGTGCTGGAGGTGAGTCAGAGCAACCCGTGGGAACACCATCAGCTCTTATTGCAGGACTTCTTTTGAGACTTCTTTGTCTTTTATTTTGCACAAATAGCCCGTGTTTGTTTGGTTTGGGTGGGGGATCTTTTAATTTTTGTTTCCTAGAAGTAGCCTTTAATTCTTGTGTTGTTACTTGATATTTTTATTCCAGGTAAGATCCCTCTTTGGGAAGGGATATTTTCTTCATCTTGTAAGTGCCCTGTGTCTGCCCTCTTAGCCCAAAAGTGAGACACTTGAATATTTTATGTAGTAGTTTTAAGAATATTTTTTCACTGTAAAATTGCCAAGAACAAGTCTCCTACTGCCTATCTGTCTGTCCTGAGCCACAACCAATGGGATTCAGCGCTGTAACCTGTGCAGGGGTGTGACAAAGATCAGTTTGAGCTTCTTAGGAATTAATTCAATTAATTCTTTTCTGGTGTGCTGTTATTTTTAAATCTCAAATTAACACTCTTCGTCTTTGAGATGAAACGTGGCCCCTTTCACAGCTTGACTGAGTCTGTGTTAAAAGGCTTAAAATAAGTGATTTTTTTTTTTTTTTTGCCAGACTTGAGAACTGTGCATGTTGCTTAAGACTCAGTGGTTCAGAGGAGGATGAAAATACCAGATAATCTGATCTGAGCTGTGGGATTACCAGTAAATGCACATAATATTTCTCTGGCTCTTTGGACACTGGGAGTCCAAGAAGTCAAAAATATGAAAATTTTTGCTTTTAAAAGTCTCCTCTCGTAAATAGCTTAATATACTCCACTACATACAGTGTAACACATGGTCCTGAAAAGTTAACTCAATCTTGGGCGGAGTGCAGTGAAATGTGGAGTATTTTAATTAAAATGGCTTTGCCAGTCCCACTCAGTGTTTCATTAAAATCAAAACTGTGTGAATCATAAGCCATAAGCATTAATTAGTGTGTTGCACAGCAAATCTCATTTGACTGTACTTGATTAACACAGCCAGCATTTGTAAACTCGTTTCATTAACAGAGTTGGAGTCATCAATCAATTGGAAACCCCAATTTTTGGAGTTACCCACCGCTTAACACCCCGAAGTGATGGGGGTGTGAGGAGGGAATTAAACTTCCCTGGTGGCAGCTCTGCTGAAGCTGGTATTTACATGGATCGCTGTGACACGGAGCAAAATAATTCCTGGTGCTCGTTCCTGTTGGAGGGAGCTTTATTCTGAGTCTTGTTTTCCTGCAGAAAGCAACCCCTTGATGTTTTTGCTGCCTCGGGGTCACCCTGACCTGGCACTGCAGCTTTGGGTGCATCCTCCAACCCAGACCAGGGTCCCTTCCAACCCAGACTGGGATGAACTCTTGTATTTACCAGTTGGGTTTTTTTTTTAGGGAAGGAGCAGCCCAGCCCTTCCCAGAAGCAAACTGGGTTTTCCCAGCCAAAATCCCTCCTGCTGCAGGATGGATCAGTCCCATGGGATCACCTTAAGCCACTTGGCCTCAAAACCATCCATTTGTTTTCCTGTCTGGCTGCCTCAGTGCTAAATAGGTCAGAGATCCCTGAAGGATGAAGGATGAAGGATGCCTTTGGAGTCAAGCAGAGGCTCTACTGGGAGCCAGGGCTGTCTCTGGAGCTTGGTGTTTGCCAGAAGGTCATGCCCAGCCTGCCTTGGAGCAACCTCTTGGCATTTCTGAGGTGTTGTGTGTTAATCTGCTGGCTCAGCCCTTCAGCTGGCACTGCAGGGATACCCTGGAGTCTGTCCCTGTCACCCTGGGGTATTGGGTGTCCTTACCCTGGCAACTGGGAAGGCTGAGTGATGCCATGGCTTTCCAGGATTCCCTCTTACTTCAGGACCTTTCTCACCTGCTCCAGAAGGGTCAGAGGGAGAACACAAGAGAAGACTTTGCTGGTTTGAGTGGAAGGAAGGAGGGTGGAGCCAGGGTGAAGTCAGGCTCTGCCCCTTGTAACAAGCAGCAGGACAAGAGGAAACAGCCTCATATTTCTCCAAGGGAGGTTTAGTTTGGATATTAGGGAGAATTTCTTCACTGAAAGGGTTGTCAAGTCCTACAACAGCCTGACCAGGACAGTGGTGGAGTCGCCATCCCTGGAGGGATTTATAACATTTAAAGATGTGGCACCTGGGGACGTGGGTTAGTGCTTGGCAGTGCTGGGGGAACAGTTGGATTTGATGATCCTAAAGGTCCTTTCCAACCTAAATGAGTCTGTGATTCTAAGTTGTCACCCCTTGGCCTGCACCTTGGAGCTGCCGTGTCCCCGCCCTTGGAGCTCCTGATTGTCCCCTCCCCTTTGCCACCTCCCTCACTGACACTCCCCACTGTGCTGGCAGCTCAGGGCTGGGCAGGGGCTTCTGAACACTCCTGGAAAAACCATTGCCATGTTATTTCCCTCCACAAACAACCCCCTGTGCCAGCAGGGAGCCCTCTCACCCTGCTGCCAGCCGGGCAGCGTGAGCGAACGGGAGACACTTTAGCCAGGATGAACAGGACCCTTTGGGATATTCACATCCCTCCCCCTCTTACTGAGCGTTCTTCTGGAGCCAGGAAAAAGACCTCACGCTGGGAAGTTTGGAGTTTACCTCCAGGAGAAAACCACTGCAGCAGCAATTCCTGCCAGCTGCTGGCAGGAGCATCCTGCAGGTAGCTGCAGCTCCTCGGGGGAGCAGAGCTGGTGTGGATCATCCCTGCACACTCTGTGCCATGGCAACAGGAGTTGTCTTCGTGCCATGAAGAGGAGTGTTCACTTGAAGCTGCTGTTCAGCTCTCCTCTCCCCATCCATATGCCGTGTGGAGCAGCACTGACCCGTTGGTGTGGCAGCGCCGTTCCCTCATCCAAGAAAACGTCAAGTCCCTCTCTCCTTGGCTTGCAGTTGGCAGGAGTTTATCCCACAACGTTGTATTTATGTTGGGTAAAGTTCAGGGAGAAATACTGCTGGAAATGGTGTCGTTTTGGGTAAAGGGGGAGGGGAGTGAAGAGGGGAAAATATGTGCTTTTTTAGGAGAACCGAGCTGAATTGACTTAGTTCCCCGTGGTGACCTGCTGAAGCAGCAAAATGGTCTTCATCTCTGACTCACACAGGCTGGAATGGGGCTGGATTAAACAAAAAAAATAAAGAAAGATTGATGTCTCAGGCGAGGGATGTCAGATCCACCCTGCTGCTCAGATGTTTGCCAGGAAAGCCCACGGAGGTAGGTGCGAAAAAGTTTGCAGCTCGGTGTGAATCAACTCGTTTGCCACAGTTCCCACCGGTGCATTTGAAGTCGCCACGGAGGGTGGGATCTGTGGTGAGAGAAATGTTGTAATAAAGGAATTAATAATTAGGTACAAGAGCTCTCCGAAAACAAGCTGTCATCGCCGAGCGGATGATTCGCGGCGCTCAGCAGCGCAGAGAGCTCTGAAGTGAAAGTGATGCTTGTCCTTTTCAGGTGCCTCCATTGCTCTGATGGACAAGGAGGGGTTGACAGCCCTGAGCTGGGCCTGCCTGAAGGGCCACCTGCCCGTGGTGCGTTCCCTGGTGGAGAATGGAGCTGCCACCGACCACGCGGATAAGAACGGGCGCACGCCGCTGGACCTGGCGGCGTTCTACGGCGACGCAGAGGTGGTGAGTGGCCTGGGACACACCCAGAGAAGAAAATGGGCAGTTGGTGTAAAAGCCAGAAGAACTGTACAGTTCAGCTTGGTGTAGCAATAGGCATGGAAGGTCCTGATCCTTCATACGTGCGGGTGCTCCCACAGAGGGTGGTCGAAGAATCACACAATGGTGTGGGTGGGAAGGAACCTTAAAGACCATCAACCCCCTCTCCTGCCATGGGCAGGGACACCTTCCACTAGCCCAGGTTGCTCCAAGCCCCATCCAACCAGGCCTCGAACACTTCCAGGGATGAGGCAGCCACAGCTTCTCTGGGAGTTCCATTCCAGCCCCTCACCACTCTTGCAGGGAAGAATTTCTTCCCAATATCCCATCTAAACCTACTCTCTTGCAGTTTGAGGTCACTCCCTCTTGTCCTGTCACTCCAGGCTTTTGTCCAAAGTCACTCTCCAGCTCTGTTGGAGCCCCTTTAGGCACTGGAAGGGACTGTAAGGTCTCCTTAGAGCCTTCTCCTCTCCAGGTGAACTCTCCTAGCTCTCCCAACCTGGCTCCAGAGTTGAGGAGCTCCAGCCCTTGGAGCATCTCCATGGCCTCCTCTGGCCTTACTCCAACAAGTCCATGTCCTTCCTGTGCTGGGGACCCCTGGGGACCTGAACCACTCCAGGTGGGGTCTCAGCAGAGCGAAGTAGAGGGGCAAAGCTTCCTCCCTCCACCTGCTGCCCACGACGTGCCCTCAGACCCCGTGGAGGTGTCCTTAGCCCAGGCAGTGGAGCAGAACAAGCTTTTGCTGGTCCTACCTCCCCAGCGCCTCATGTAGGTCTCTCCCAGGAGCAGAACCGACTGTTGGGCTTCTCCTCGCAGGTTCAGTTCCTGGTGGACCACGGGGCCATGATCGAGCACGTGGACTACAGCGGGATGCGGCCCCTCGACAGGGCAGTCGGCTGCCGCAACACCTCGGTCGTGGTCACCCTCCTGAAGAAAGGAGCAAAGATAGGTAGGGACAAGGGGACTCTGCCATCGGCTCTGTGCTCAGGCAGGACTCGAGCAGTGGGGCTGGCATCCTAAAAAACACGAGTATAACCCCAAGGCAGCCTTGGACGCAGCCGGCAGGGTCAGCCCTGCCTGCTTCCTGGTCAGGCGGGGACTATTATTTTTATATATATATATATATATTTTTTTTTTTTTAAATTTTTGCTGTCGTATTACTTAGCAAAAGTTAATCAATAAACAACTGTCTCTTTGGCAAGGTCTTTCCTCTGGTAATGCTTTTTCTATCTTTACTAGTCTTGAGTCGACAAGTGTACTCTGTCCATGCCTTGCTGTGAGCTGCTGCGTTCACTCGCTCTGTGTATGCTTCCAGACCTCAGTGTACCTGCACTGCGCCACACAGCCGCTCACGTTACGTTTTCCTGTGAAAGGGGATTTTGCTGGTGCATTGGCTTCCTTGCTGCCTGCCTCTCACAGCTGCTTTTTTCCTTTCTTTTTTTTTTTTCTTTTTTTTTTTTTTCACCTTCATCCATTTTTTTCCCCCCTCTCTCCTACAACTTTTTGTTTTCTCCTTTCTTTGAAGGTTGTCAGACGTTACCGAGTCGCCCACGAGGTATATCTCATTGCTGTCAGCATCAGCTTCGATCTGATAGCTTTGTCAGCCTTGCTTTCTCCTGTTTGATTTAGCCTGCATGCGTCCCCAACACCTCTAATCTTTTTAATTTACCTCACCTTCAAATAATTTTTTTAATGACTGTTGCAGAGAATAACTTGAACTCAAAAACTAACCTCCTTCCCCCCAAACGTACTGAATATACTTATGGAATACTGTTGACTTAATTCTTCACCCACACTAATGAACTGTCCCCAAATTTTTGCCGCCCCTTCCCTCCCAGTATCAGTGCTTGAGATCAGAGCTGGCTCTGCAGGGTGGCCCCTGTGCAGAGGCAGAGTGTCCCCAGCCCCACGACACCCTCAGCACCAGCAGCGCTTAGACAGGACCTTCCCTTTGTCGTATTTTCTGCCTCAGTGGGTTTTCTACTCTAGTCTTTCACATCCTGTGAAGCTGGAAATCACAATCCACTTAACCGCAAACCAGCTATCATCGACAGCCGAACTGCAGATTCCCCAGCACACTTCCAGAGATTTTAATTTAGAAATGCTTTTATGTAACCACTCTGATTTCTCCTTTTTTAAAGACGGTTTGTTTCCCCCCATCCCAGCCGGTTCCACGTTCAGCACTGCCCTCTTGTGGAAACGGCTCCATCCTTTCCCAGGCCACTGGGATTGGCGTTAATCACTTCAAAATACAACCAGTGCAGTGGGGGTGACATTAATTTTAAGTGCCAGAGGAACTATCAGCTCGATCATTTGGAGCACTCTGCCCTTTGACCATGCCAAGTTGTTCTCTCCAGCAGAAATTCCCACCCCAGGGTATTTTTTTCCACCCAGCTTCCTACCACCCTTGCATTGTATGAGTTCTTTACCCATCATGCATCCTGTACACTACAGGTCCAGCAACATGGGCGATGGCAACCTCCAAACCAGACATCATGATCATCCTGTTGAGCAAGCTGATGGAGGAGGGAGACATGTTCTATAAGGTGAGGAGAGGGGGTTTGGGGAAAGGGAGCACATGCAGTTTGCAGCATCTCTTGGCTGGGAGGTTTTGCCTGTGCCGGGCCAGCGCTTGATCTTCTCCAAACCGTGGTTCTGATGTGCTGCCTCCTTAACCTGTGGCAGGTCAAAAGCATCTCTCGTGTTCCAAACTGTTTGGTTTTGGTTAGTGGGGTTGGGGAAGTTGGGGGGGGGGGGGGGATTGATTGCCCAGATCTGTAACAAAGCTGAAGCAAGGCCAAGTCGCTCTGGGTTTGAGCCAGCACCTCGTCTCCTCTTTGAAAAACACCAGAACCCAAGTGTTTGCTGGCAGTGCTGCTGCTGCCATTGCATCAGATCTGGCAACCTTGTCCTTACCTGGTGGGTTCACTGCTGGGGAACAGGGCAACAGGACAGGGTATCCCAGAAAAGCTCCTGGAAGAAACTTTCTGCAGCGAAGACAGATTGTCAGGACACAGCTGGCTCTGTCGTGTCCTGTGGCCCGTGGGAGCCATTCCACTGCTGCAGTTGGAGTATCTTTCTTGCTCCATATTTATTTAAAAACCTGGAGGTCTGCACACACACACAGAAAATGTGCAAGTACAACAGTGATTCACTGTGAGGCTCGAAGGGTGAAGCAGAAAATATGCAGAGCTGGCATTGTAACTGGAGTTACCTGCCAGAGGTACACGATACAGCTGAGAAACCTGAGTCTACAAGTTTCTAAGAGTCACTATTCATAGCTGAGAAATTTGTGTCTGGGTCATCAGGAACGGTTTGTGTCCCAGATCCCGTCCTGCCCTCTTTCTCTCCCCCTGGCTGGGTGGCTGCCCCCCTTCAGGGCTCCCATCGTCCCATCCCAAAATTAAGTGCCCAAAATAGCAAAGATGAGTCACCTTTGAAGGTGACTGTGGCGTCCCAATAACTATAAAAGGAACCCACTTACCAGACTTGGATGTGGACACCTGATTTTTAGACGCCTGAAGTTCAGGGAGGTGGATCTCAACCTGTTTGTCCAAGTTCAGAGCCACGTGGGTGCTGTAACATTTGTCTTTGCTGTTGCAGAGGCTTCTCTGGAGCCCCAGAGCTCCACCCAAAAGTCCCACAATTCCTATTCCTTACTCCTAAAGCTTTGGGTGGAGGGTGCTCTCCAGGAATGGGATCACCCAGCCCAAAAGACCATCCAGCCAGGAAGCAGATGGAGTTGTATCGAGTTAACACCAGTTCTGCCGTGTTTCCTGCTTGCAGTGTGACAGCTCTGTACCAAGTGGGAGACCTCAACTTTGCACAAGGCATCTTGCCTTTCCAGCTCAGATGTTCCCTTGATCAAATGTTCTGGCTTTCCTTTTCTAGAAAAAAAGGAGCTTAAATAGAGAAGTTGTGTTTCCTCGAGCACCTAAAACATTCCTGGGGCTGGCGGGTGAGTTCTCTGCAGGGAAGCAAACTCAGCCCAAGGGTGTGTTTTGACTTGTTTTCCTTCTAACAGAAAGGTAAAGTGAAAGAGGCCGCCCAGCGCTACCAGTACGCTCTGAAGAAATTCCCCAGGGAAGGGTTTGGAGAAGACCTGAAAACCTTCCGTGAGCTGAAGGTGTCGCTGCTCCTCAACCTCTCCCGCTGCCGAAGGAAAATGAATGTAAGTCCCCCACCTCTTTTCATGGCCTTAAGCCCAACTTGCCACCCTTGTGACTCTACTGAGACGTGTCCTTCCATCCCTGATCGTGCCCTGACCTCTCTGTCTCTCCTCTCTCTCTCTTCTCTGTCCCACCTGGTTGTCCTTCACGGGGCACTGGCATTTTATGCTTCAAAAGCAGTAATGATTTCATATTCATTTCAGGTGATTAAAAATTCATTGCTGTGTTTATAACCCTTTGAATTTTTTATTGCTCCCTTTTTGATGATGGTGTTCCACGTCGTCACGTGGTGGTGGAGGCATTTTCCAGCTTTCTGGGGCAGCGGTGAGGAGGAGCCAGGAGATATGCTCCTTTGAATACTAATTAATTTCAAATGAAGGAGCATATGCTTAGGGGGTTTGCACTTCCCCAGGGCAGTGACTCATCCAGAAACACCCCCACAAGACTCCCTCTCCTCCCAGAACTGCCAGATCCCTGTCACTCTCCCCATTCCAATCTGGCAGCATCCAGAGCAGCTCGTGCAGATGCCTGTTCTGCCAGCAGACAAGTGCCACCTCCCCTGGCTTGGCATGCAGGGGCTTTCACCTCCGCAAAATAAAGTCCCCTTAAACTCAAAAAGTGACATCTCTGCCCAGGCCATGAGCCAGCAGAGGTTACACTGGAGGGGAGGGAGGTTTTGTGGCACCTTCTTAAGGTGTGAGGGAGAAGGATGGAAGGCAACGGGAGTAAAACCTTAATGCTGGTGAACAAACACAGTGTGGAGAAGAAGTGTGAAACTTGACTTTAAACCAGCCAGCTCACAGCTAAGCAACTCCAGCTCTTGTCCTGGGCTTTAAGGACAAGATTTTTGATTTACCCTTAATTGGGGAATGAGAGGTTTTGTGCGAGAAAACTCCAGAGGGTTTTAATTGCTCCTGCAGTTTTTGCACCTGTAGAAGAGACCGTAAAAGTCTTGACTACATTCCCACTTGAGTCTGTTGGGCAATATCTCCTCAGTAACTGCTACTGAAGGTACAAATAGAAGTATGAACTTCCCCAGGCAGGGCATCCCCCTTAGCAAGAGTTGGCTTCCCATGAACAAATCAGGAGCAGCACTGTTCCTTTTCTCCCAGAGCTGCTCAGGTCATAGCCCAAGTCAGCGATCCAAAGCTTAGCTGGGAAATGGAATCCTCTCCATGGGGGAATCCTCTCCTTCACAAGGGCTGAGCTTCAGCTAAGCTGAGCTTAGTGGGACGTGAAGCTTTTGGAACAAGGCAAGGGAGGGCAGCAGCAAGGTCTGAACCAGAGCTGACAGTCTGGTCTCATGGCTCTGCCACTGGAAAGCACCTAGAGCAGTCCCATCCCACGCTGCCTGCTCCCAAAATATCCTCCCAGTGAGGTGCAGGGGAGAGGTGAGGAACAGTGGGACAGCGCTGATAGGAGGCCTTTGCCAGACAGGTCACTGAGACACCACAGTCCTGTCCTTCACAGGCAGTTTCCATCAGCCCCTTGAAGAATACCAGTGTGGTGCAGAGAGGGAGGGGGAGGGCGTGGGAAAGGTTTCCTATGGCTTTTAACTGTGGAAAAAATCCTTCATGAGATAACATTCCAGCCTCTGCGAGACCAGATGTTTCCTCAAGGCTGTAGGTTGGTGGGGAGGGATTTGCATGCACTTGTTGAGGACACAATGAGAACAGAGCCAGTGTCACACAGGCCTCTCTGGGTGATGACAGCAAGGGTGTTACCAGAGGGCTGAGGGGTTTTTTTTTGGACGTGCCATCATAACTCCCTGGCTGTAAATGATGTTTGAACCCACGTGAAACATTCCAGTACCATCAGGTTTGCCATGCTACGTGCAAAGAACCAAACCCATATTTTAAGATTGCTTTCTTCCCGAGCTGTATATATTTTTATTTCTATATCTGTTCAGTCACTGACCTGCACACCTGTTGTCATGGCAGGATTTTGGGATGGCGGAGGAGTTTGCCACTAAGGCTCTGGAGCTGAAACCGAAGTCTTACGAAGCTTACTATGCAAGAGCAAGGGCCAAACGCAGCAGCAGGTGAGGAGGGACAGAGAGGAAGGTGTGAGGGGCTGGTCCCTGCAAGCCTGACCACCCCAGCGTGGGCACCCACCCTGCAAAGCCATGCAGTGCCCCCATGGGAAGAAGTGGCCAAGGAATGTTCATCAACTCCAAAATAACCCCCTCCCTCAATTGGTGAATTCTGAATGGAAGTGTTTTGAGAGGTTGTCTTAGTGGAACTTCGTCTGGGCATCTTACAGCCCTGGAAAGCTGGACACCAGAGTGGGGTGTTCTTTTTCAGAGTACGCTTTAGCTCAGCCACAACTTGGACCTGAAGCAAAATATGACTCATGGCCTGTGTTGTGCAAGAGGGCAGACTCATTCCTCGTGGTGGTCCCCTCTCTGTCCTGCAGCATTTTCTGCCAGGCAGATGCTGCTGACCAGCTGTGCAGTGGCTCCAGGCAGGCGCCGGCCAGGGAATGTCCAGACAGAGCCGTGCTCAGAGCACTACAACCAGCTCCTGGAGAGCTACAGCCCTGGGATCCCCCTTGTTCAGCTCTCTGAAGGCTAAAACACATGAGATCAGATTCAGTAAATGAGCAGGGGGTCTGCTTGGGAGTCCTGTTCCCGAGGGCTGGGTTGTTGCATCGTAGTTAAAACGGCAGCCAAAACGCCTCACACGACCCTGCAGGGAGTGTGTGAGCCCACCTGTGCAAATATCCCAGCTCAGCAGACACCACCATTTGACCTTCCATGCTGGAGGCAAGTGTGGAACAGGGCTCCTGGCCCAGCTGGTGCAGGTGCACCAAGTCCTGATGAGGGAGGTGAAGCCGTGACCTTCTGTTCCACAGAGGAGCCCTGTGAGCTGAGCCACATGCACCTCATGCCTTTCCTTTAATGGTTTCCTGAACTCCTTTGTTCCTAAAACGCTTGCAAGGGACCTTAAGACCCATGTTCCTCTCCAGATGATATCAGCATCCTTTTGTCCCCTGGCCTTTCCAGCAGAAAATGTCAGCACTTTGGCTTTGCTTCTCCCTGTCCCAGTCTGTGCCCAGCAGCCCCACTGGGCTCGCACAGCCTGGAGAGGAGGAGGCTTTTCCTTCCTCCACTTGGCCTTTTTGCTTGTGCAAGAGATTAGGCTGGTGCTGGGAGGTGCTGGGGGGCATGTTTTACTAGTGGGGGAGTTTTCCCCCATCTGGGTGGGTTTTCCCAGATGACAGTCGTATTCAAACACACGGGTTTGCTCCAAAGCAATCAGTGCCCCTGTAAATGGCAACCCCCTTCCCAAGCCCCCACCTCCCAGGCTGGCCTTTCCCTCACAGAGGCTTCCCCAGGCAGCTCACAGCCTCCGGCACGTTGCTCGATCCCTTCGTTCCGAGGGAGTTGGACGAATCTATTGCAAAATCAGAGAGACAAGCCATGCCCAGAGCGCTGACCCGTGGGAGCCCCTGAGCTCTGGAGCCAGCCCTGACGCTGTGTGGTCTTGGCATCAGGCAGAAGTTGGATTTTCCCTGGCGTGAGTGGTTGCAGCTCTGTCAGAGCTTGTTTACAGCAGCGCTGAGCCGAGCTCGCGGTGAGCGGCGCGTCGGTGTCCCCTTTGCTCACGCTGAGGTGAAGCTCAGGGAGGTGCTGAGGGCAGTAATTAATTGGTCCCTAACGCACACCACGGGGCGCAGGCATGTTTGCTAGGCTGGGTTGTGCCCTCTCAGGACTGTGTTCCCCTCTTCTCCAGAATTTTCCTTCGGTTTGGATAAACTAAACCCGAGGGAGGCACATAAGGCAGAGTGTGTGAGAGGCACAGCAAGCAGCAGCAATGACAAACATCTCCCTCACTAAAACAGACAACCCACTTACCCTCCTCTGGAGCCTCTGAAAGCGGCACCATTCCAATCCAGAGTAACTTCAGTTCTCGTTTCTGTCCCTTTGTCGAGCAGGCAGTTTTCAGCAGCCCTGGAGGACCTGAACGAGGCCATCAAGCTGTGCCCCAACAACCGTGAGATCCAGCGGCTGCTGCTGCGGGTGGAGGAGGAGTGCAGGCAGGTGCAGCAGCAGCAGCAGCAGCCGCCGCCGCTCCCGGCAGAGCCGGAACCCGAAGCCCAGCACGAAGAGCTGTACTCTGTGCAGGACATCTTCGAGGAGGAGTACCTCGAGCAGGACGTAGAAAACGTTTCCATTGGCCTGCAGACAGAGTCCAGGCCAAACCAAGGGCTGCCCATCATCCAGAGCCCACCCCCGTCCCCGGCTCACAGGGACTCGGCCTATATCTCCGGCTCCCCTCTTGGCTCTCATCAGGTCTTTGATTTCAGGTCCAACAGCTCCGTGGGGTCCCCGACCAGGCAGGGCTACCAGTCCACGTCCCCTGCTCTGTCCCCGACGCACCAAAACTCACATTACAGGCCCAGTCCTCCACACACGTCCCCGGCTCACCAGGGCTCCACGTACCGCTTCAGCCCCCCTCCCGTGGGGAGCCAAGGGAAGGAATATCAGAGCCCGCCGCCCTCTCCTCTCCGCAGAGGCCCCCAGTACCGTGCCAGCCCCCCGGCAGAGAGCATGAGCGTCTACAGGTCACAGTCGGGCTCCCCGGTGCGCTACCAGCAGGAGCCCAGCGGGGTCACCCAGCTCCCCGGCAGGCCCAAGTCTCCGCTCTCCAAGATGACGCAGAGATCCTTCCAGATGCCGCAGCTCCCCGTGGCCGTGCCGCAGCAGGGGCTGAGGCTGCAACCGGCCAAGGCGCAGATCGTGAGGAGCAACCAGCCCAGCTCCGCCGTCCACTCCAGCACCGTCATCCCCACCGGGGCCTACAGCCAGGTCGCCCACTCGATGGCCAGCAAGTACCAGTCGTCGTCGGGGGACATGGGGGTCACCCAGAGCAGGCTGGTCTACCAGGGCTCCATCGGGGGCATCGTGGGCGACAGCAGGCCCGTGCAGCACGTGCAGGCGAGCCTCAGCGCCGGGGCCATCTGCCAGCACGGAGGGCTGGCGAAGGAAGACCTTCCCCAGAGACCGTCCTCGGCCTACAGAGGGGGGATGAGGTACAGCCAGACACCTCAGATCGGGCGGAGCCAGTCCGCTTCCTACTATCCCGTGTGCCACTCCAAGCTGGACCTGGAGCGCTCGCCCCTCCCCGCCAACCAGCTGGGCTCTCCAGATGTGTCCCATCTCATAAGAAGGCCCATCTCAGTGAATCCCAGCGAAATCAAGCCTCACCCGCCGACTCCCAGGCCGCTGCTCCACTCTCAGAGCGTGGGCCTGCGCTTCTCCCCCTCCAGCAATAGCATCTCCTCCACCTCCAACCTGACGCCCAACTTCCGCCCTTCCGCCTCGATTCAGCAAATGGAGATTCCCCTCAAGCCAGCCTACGACAGATCGTGCGACGAGCTCTCTCCGGTGTCCCCCACGCAGGGGGGTTATCCCAGCGAGCCGGCCCGCTCCCGGACCACGCCCTTCATGGGAATCATAGATAAAACCGCTCGGACTCAGCAGTACCCCCACCTCCATCAGCAGAACCGGACCTGGGCCGTGTCGTCAGTGGACACTGTCATTAGCCCCACGTCTCCTGGCAATCTGCCCCAGCCGGAATCCTTTAGCCCGCCCTCTTCAATCAGCAACATTGCCTTTTATAACAAAACCAACAATGCACAGAATGGCCATTTGCTAGAGGAAGACTATTACAGCCCCCATGGGATGCTGGCCAATGGGTCCCGGGGAGACCTCCTGGAGAGAGTCACCCAAGCCTCCTCGTACCCCGACGTCAAGGTGGCAAGGACGCTGCCCGTGGCGCAGGCCTACCAGGATAACCTGTACAGGCAGCTCTCCAGGGACTCCAGGCAAGGGCAGACGTCCCCAATCAAACCAAAGAGACCATTTGTGGAGTCTAATGTGTAAAAGACGCTTGTTGGAGTAAGACCCTCATGTTTTCAGCACACACTTCCAAGCTTGATTTCCATGCATATTATTATTATTATTATTATTAATTATTATAATTATTATTATTATTATTATTATTATTTTTATTTCTCTCTGGTAGCTACATGACCAAGTTTCTCCGGTACTTTGTGTGGTGGTCAGACAGCCATGCACGTGCTCCAGCCCTTTCGTTCCCCAGCTGACCGTGAAGCCAACATCAGCCGAGCCAGTATCGTTTGCCCAATTCCAGCAAAGTTCCAACCAGGATATCTTAGTCCGTGGCGCGGGGTGGCCCAGAGATATCCCTACGCAGCGGGAGGTAACCAGCTCTTTTTCAAGAGACAATCGCCTTCGATTTAAATTTGGTTTTCTTTTGTCTCGATGAGCTCTTACTCAGTTCTGACGGGAATTCCTAGGGATCACAGGAGCCTTTCCCGAGGCTGCTCCCCGTGCCAGCCAGGCCAGTTTGGCTCTTTGCCCCAAAGAGCAAAATCACCCTCAGCGAGCAAGGGCTGAGGGTGATGTGATGTGATGTAACACCGGTAGCTATGCACAACACCCATCCCGATTCCGCTGGTTTCCAGCATTTTAATCCCAGTTGGATTCCCTCCTTCCTTAACCTCGTCATCGGTGCTGGGGTGGGGATCACTTTGCTGCTTTCCAAGTGCCCGCTGGGTGCCCCTACACTGATTTCGTTGCTCTGGGACGTTCTGCAAGCGTTGAGGGCTTAAGGTTGGCCCTTCGTTAACGTGTTTTGATCAGTCAAGGGAATTGCCCAGGAACCTCTTGTGTGTGAACCGGGATTGCACCAACTTCCTCACACCGCTGGCAAACTTGCACCTCACACCCAGCATTTGCGCCGGGGAGGTTCAGTGCTGGGGCCTTCATTTGGGGGAGGGGGAGGATTCATCACTTGTGAGGAAAAATAACGAAAAAATGGTATTCAAGGAGAAAAAATAATCACGATTTTTAATTAATTTTTTTTTTTTTTAATGATGAGGATGCAGAACATGGCACAGTGGGCCCCGAAAGAAAAAAGGGTCCCTCTGCAATCGCAGCCCTGCAGCATCCCTTCCCTCCAGCTTGCTCCCACCAGAGAGCCAGGGCTGTAGCAAGGGCTGCACCTCTCTAAGATCCCTTCCCCAAATCCTGGAAAGCAGTGCTGTGTTCCAGAGCTGGGCATGGTGGAAACCATGTTTTGCTTTTAGAGGAGCTGTAGTTAAAAGAGACCTATTTATAATTTATTTATGTTACCTATTTCAGGACATTTTTCATTTTGTTGGGCTTTTTCTTCTTCTGTTATTCCTGGGGTTTTAACCAAATGCAAGTCACATCAGGACGACGTGAAAAGCAGGGGCCGGTTCCAAGATCCTTTTTGTAGGATTTTCAATCATTTTTCCGTCACTTGCCGAAAATTTCTTTTGGGATTTTGGGAGGGGGAGGTGGGGAAGAACTTCCTTTTACCGATTCCCTTATTCCTGGTGGGTTTCTAATCCACCTTTTCCGTTCCTGAGGGCGAAGGGTGGGGATGCCGGGGAGGGGGAGAGCGATAACCCTTGTAGCTTGTTTTAAAGCAAACTTTAGTGCCTGTTGCCCGATGCCGAACCTCACTCATATCAAACTCTTGGGAGCGATCTCAGTGCTGAGCAGGGGGAGCGACACCTTCCGGGGTCTCCAAAGGGCTAAATGTGAACTGATTGCAAGACTTCTTGAACCAAATCACGGGGCTCCAACCTCGGCTGGTGTCGGTGTGAGCACATCCCAGCGCCACTTCACTGCGGCTGCAGCCACTCCCACCAGCTCAGGACTGGGTCTGAAACTCCTTAAGCAAACCCTGGCTTCGATGGGGCTTTTTTTGTTTTTTTCCCTTGTGTGTGGCTCAGCGCATCTCGTCGCTGTTTTGTTGCCTAATTCGCTCAGAGCGAGCTGGGACGTGCAAACCTTGGGGGTGACGGGGTCTTGTGTCTCATAGACACATGGGAGAGCGTTCAGGGGAGTGTTTCCTCGATGAGTTTTGGCGGTTTTGGGCTGTTTGGTCTTTGTCCGAGCCGGTGTTTGGATTGAGGTTGGTGTTTTCTTCCTTGAGGTGCCACTCTTCGCTTTACCACAGGGCTCTGTAAAGCGGGGGCCAGACTGGGACCCCCTCGGTGGGGCGAGTCCCCCACGGCCGTGTGGGACACCCAGCTCCATGCACTGCTCCTCTCCTTGCAAAGGGGGCTGCGATGGTTTTCTTTCTCCCTCCTCTCTTTTTCGAAGCAGCACGTCCTGCTTTGTAAGGAGTAGCCGGTTTCTCCTCCGCATTCCCATGCACCCGTGGCTGGCACGCGTGTCCCTGGGTCTGGAGCTGCACCAGTCGCTTTGCTCAGCGCCTCCCGCCCTCCAGCTTCCTGCCAGAGTGGCTTCCTACCTTTAGTTGCTCCTTTGAAAGGAAAGAGTAACCAAATTCAGCCCCATCCCTGTTTTTTTCCCCCGCCGGGGTGCCGGCGGGATGGTCCGAGAGCAGCGATGGGGAAGCTGCCCGTGCTTTGCTTTCGCCACTCACTGCCTTGTGCTCCCAGTCCTGTCCTTCAGAACCATCCCCTCACGGCACTTCTTGTGTGTAACTTTCGGGTTTATGAAGATGTTTTAAGGGAAGATGAAAACAGCTCACACTTTTCAACACGAACACCAAGCTGAAGAAGGCTTAAAACACTGCGGCGTGCAGGTTTTTTTTTTCACAGTTCCACGTGTTAACATTTTTCACAGAATTCTTGCACTAATGGTTTTCCATCTGTTCTCTCTGTAAATGGGTGCACTTTACTGTTTGAATTTGTTACTATGATAAATACTGGATATTTAAGCGTGAGTAGTGTCTTCATTAGAAAAATAGCAAAAACAGCTCTTGTCTCTTAGTGTATTTTTCAAAAAAAAGAAAGGAGAAAAAAAGAAAAGAAACGAAGCAATGAATCATAACATTTATAGCACAAGAACTGACTCCTGTATATAAGCATCAACAGATTGAGTAATTTTTGGATACGAAATTATTTGCAGCGGTTTTAAAGCACTTCCCCAGCAATTCCCTTAGGGGACAGTCGAGGCAGGATGGCTGCTGTGGTCGCCGGGTGGGTAAAGGAGCACATCTCTCCCTGGAAAAGCTGTTCTTACACACTCCCCTGTGTCTTCAAAGTCGTGATTTGGGCTTGGCAGGAGGAGAAGCAGGTCGTTCTGTGTGGTGCTGCCATGGTCCTGTTGCACTCGGGGGGGGCATGAGGTCAGATCTCACCCGAGGGCCTTTCATCCTCTGCTCTTAGATCCAGGTCTGACAGGCCCAGGCTGCATTGTGGGATCACATCCAGAGTTTCAGACATGGTGCTGTACTGTCTGTCCATGCTACCTATTTAATTACTCTTTGGGTAATTGAGATGCAGGACAGTGCTGCCAGCTGGTGCCTCCATCCCCTCCTGGCTTCAGTGGCACGGCTGGCGAGCCCCATCTTCAAGTGAGTGCAGGATTCTTGGATGCACCGAGTTAAAGCGGGTTCTTGATGACATTGAAACTCCGGGCTCAGTTCTTGGGGTGCACAGGGAAGGCAATGCCAAAGGTGATGCTGAGGTCAACCCCTTTCTTCAGACAACCTTCCCACGAAGTGTCTCTCCTCCTCACCTGTGGCAGCTCCAAGAGCCAGGTGTGCCTCTGCAGAGCTGGAATCATCTCTCCCAGTATCAGCTGTGGGTGTCTGTCCCATCCCTCAGTGGGGATTTGTCGACTCTTGCTTTGTCTCCCAGCTCAGGAGGATGCTGTGGTCCCAGGGGAGGGGACACCCACCTGGTGGGGGGCTCTGCAGAGTCCCCCCCAACCAGGCTGGGAGTGGCAGTGGAGGGCTTTGAACACAGTCTTGAGTGGGCATTGAAGTGCTTAGGAAAGGGAGGGTTTTACAGACGAATCCTTCAGGATCCGTCTCCAAAGAAGGCACAGCCTGAGCTGCCTTCTCTGTGTCGCTGTTTTGGGGGGGCTGTGGCAGCTCTGACGACCCGAGACGTGTGTCCATCGGTCTGTCTGTCCATCTGCTGTGGCACCAGTGCCCAGCTGGGGCTTGTTGGAGCACTGAACTTTCTGGTTATTTTCCTTTAACGTGGCTGTGAGGGAACCGCGTGGCTGGTGCGAACGCGGGAGCGCGAGTCTGCCAAACCGGGAGCCGTGCTGGGATCAGGTCCGGAAAGCAGGGGTGGGTACTAAAACTGGGAGCGATTCAGTCCCCTTCACAAAGGTTGCTGTATATTCAGGGTTACCCAGGAGAAGTTTAGCTAAAACCGAAGTGCCAGCTCTGCCTTATCTAGAGAACCAAGCAAGCCGTCGTGCCTGCTCGTCCTCCGCCTTCCTCGCCCGGGGGGCGGCCCGTGGTGAGCTGTCGGGAGCTCCTTGGTGGTTGTACTTTTGCTTTAGTCTTGGGAATTCAAGAGAACTCTTCTACCAGGATATCAGTGTCTAACCAAGGGCTTAGGGGAAGAGCTGCTGTACCCGCTGGGACCTCTGTGGATCGATGCCTTCGCCCCGCGCAGTCCGGCGGGGTGTGTGTGTTGGACACAAAGCACAATGGTTCGAAAGTGAATCTGCCTTTTTGGTTTGGTTTTTTGTTTGTTTTTTTTTTTTTTCAGCTTTGTGTGAATAATTGCTGGATTTTACATTCAGTCAAAACTCTTTTTTCTAATATAAACCACTAAGGGCTCAATTCTTTAGCAAAGACGCGTTCGTGTCCAACTCCTGACGTGCAGCTGGGACAGACCAGCCCCGAGAGGAGCACGGCGTCACCGGGAAAGCCAACAGACCCCCAGCCCGCCCGCTGTACCCTTCCTCCCGCCCATTTCCCAGCTGTCACGGTACTGGGGAGTCAGCAGCCGGGTCCCACCCGACGAGATCGCATCGTGTGGGCGTGAAAACAGAGGGGGCTGCTCTGCCGAAAGACTTTGTCCCTTCGGGTGATGCTGTTGGGGATGACGGTGAGGCGTCTCTGAGGTGGGGTTGAGTGGGTGGGTGGGTGGGAGAGGCTCGTGCCCAGGGAACTGGGTCCCCACGGGTGTGAGAGCAGCGCTGTGTGCTACGTGCAGCCCCTTCTGTCGCTCCACCGCTAACCCAGAGACTCGTGTGGACTCTGCCGGTGCTGCCGGGCTCACCCTGTCCAGCCTTTTCTTTGCCATGGTGTTGCTTTCAGCGTCCGGTCTCCCTCCTGTCTTCACACCCGAGAGGATCTGAGTTGGGTACAAACACGTCCAGTACACCCGCCTTGTGCTTTGTACAGTTAATTCCCTGGTTTGCCATCCTCCGAGACACTTTGCTGGGAAGATCTTTAAGACACTTAAAAATTTTCCTTTAGCTTTTCTATAATTCTGATGTAAAGGACTTTCTCTCTGTACAGTATATTATCCAATGCATGTTCTGTTCTCTCTCTACTGATATATTGAACACCACACAGTTGTGATATTGTGCAGTGGGAAGAGCAGCCCCTGCCGACAGCGGAGGCCTTTGCCTCTCATCTCTAAGGAAAGAAGAAAACATATTTTTTCCTTTGCTGTATTTGCTTGAGCAGAGTTTTCTTGTCTGTACATGTGAGCTGTGAGATAGATGTGAAAAGTTCAAAAGAATGCATTCCCCCCCTCCCCCCAATGTATACAGATTGTAATCTGTACAATGAAAACTGTATGTATGAAAAAATGTACTTATTTATAAATGGTTAACACTTGGAAATGGTGTCTGGGCTGCTGTTTTTCCCACACTGGGTTGAGTGAAGGAGTGTTCTGATGCTTCTTGGTGTGGTAATGATGGTGCAAGGGATGGGTCTCC